ACAATAAAAACAGTACTTTATTTAGGCACGTAACTTCTTCATTTTTTTCCTGTAATTGATTGTTATTTTAGTATCTAGTGCATTCTTTGTTTTTTTTCCTGTAATCGATTGTTACTTTAGTATCTGGTGCATTCTTTGTTTTTTTCCTGTTATCGATTGTTACGTCAGCATCTTGCGTACTCTCTGTTTTCTCCTGTGATGGATTATTACGTTAGCATCTTGCGCATTCTCTGTTTTCTCCTGTAATGGATTATTACGTTAGTATCTCGCGTATTCTTTGTTTTCTCCTGTGATGGATTGTTACGTTAGCATCTCGCACATCTGTTTTCTAACATAATCTATTATTACGTCAGTTTCTCGCACATTCTCTTGTTTTCTCCTGTAATCGATTGTTACGTTTGTATCTCGCGCATTCTCTGTTTTCTCCTGCAATCGATTTTTACGTTAGAATCTCGCGCATTCTCTGTATTCTCCTTTAATGGGTTGTCACGTTAGTATCTCGCACATGCACTGTTTTCTCCTGTAATCGATTGTGACGTTAGTATCACGCGCACTCCAAGCTTTCTCCTGTAATGGATTATTACGTTCGTGTCTTGTGCGCTCTCTCTTTTCTCCTGTAGTGGATTGTTACGTTGGTATCTCGCGCATTCTCTTTTTTTTCCTGTAAGCGATTGCTACGTTAGTATCTCGCGCATTCTCTTTTTTCTCCTGTAATGGACTATTACGTTAGTATCTCGCGCATTCTCTGTTTTCTCCTGTCATCGATTGTTACGTTTGTATCTCGCGCATTCTCTGTTTTCTCCTGCAATCGATTGTTACGTCAGAATCTCGCGCATTCTCTGTATTCTCCTTTAATGGGTTGTCATGTTAGTATCTCGCACATGCACTGTTTTCTCCTGTAATCGAATGTGATGTTAGTATCACGCGCACTCTAAGCTTTCTCCTGTAATGGATTATTACGTTCGTGTCTTATGCACTCTCTGTTTTCTCCCGTAGTGGATAGTTACGTTGGTATCTCGTGCATTCTCTGTTTTCTTCTGTAATCGATTTTTACGTTAGTATCTCCGAGATTCTTAGTTTTCTCCTGTAATTGATTGCAACGTTGGTATCTCGCGCATCTGTTTTCTTTTGTAATGAATTGTTGTTTAAGTATCTCGCGCATTCTTTGTTTTCTCCTGTAATCGATTGTTACGTTAGTGTCTCGCACATTCTCTGTTTTCTCCTATAATCGATTGTTACGTTAGTGTCTCGCGCATTATCGGTTTTCTTCTGTTATGAATAGTTGCGTAAGTATCTCGCGCATTCTCTGTTTTCTACTGTAACTGATTGTTACGTTTAACTTAGTATCTCGCGTATTCTCTGTATTCTATTGTAATGAATTGTTAAGTTAGTATCTTGCGCATTCACTGTTTTCTCCTGTAACGAATTGTTACGTTAGTATCTCGCGCATTCTCTGTTTTCTTTTGTAATGGATTGTTACGTTAGTATCTTGCGCATTCTCTGTTTTCTTTTGTAACGGATTGTTACGTTAGTATCTTGCGCATTCTCTGTTTTCTGTTGTAATGGATTGTTACGTTAGTATCTAACACATTCTCTGTTTTCTATTGTAATGGATTGTTACGTTAGTTTCTTGCGCATTCTCTGTTTTCTGTTGTAATGGATTGTTACGTTAGTATCTAACACATTCTCTGTTTTCTATTGTAATGGATTGTTACGTTAGTTTCTTGCACATTCTCTGTTTTCTGTTGTAATGGATTGTTACGTTAGTATCTAACACATTCTCTGTTTTCTATTGTAATGGATTGTTACGTTAGTATCTTGCGCATTCTCTGTTTTCTTTTGTAACGGATTGTTACGTAAGAATCTTGCACATTCTCTGTTTTCTATTGTAATGGATTGTTACGTTAGCATCTTGCGCATTCTCTGTTGTCTCCTGTAATGGATTGTTACGTTAGTATCTCGCGCATTCTCTGTTTCCTCCAGTAATGGATTGTTACGTTAGTATCCCGCGCATCCTCTGTTTTGTATATGTAATCACATGAGGCCAAGTACTATTAAGGATTAATTGCACGAGCGTTTTCAAAATTTTCCAATTTGGAAAATTTTGAAAACTCAAGTGCAATTAATCCTTAATAGTACGAGGTCTCATGGGATTACTTGTTTATCAACAAAGGGCAAAATTTTACGAAGGAAAATCACGCGCGCAGTCTATTTTTAACAAATTTCAAGATAACGAACGGTTGCTATGCAACGGATTAGCCAATCATTAACAGGTAATCATGCCCTCTCTTGATTACTAAAAATGCCCTCGATTAAGAAAAAATGCCCTCTCTCTCAACCAATCAGCGCTCAGTAATTTTGCCCTTTATTGATAATCGATTGTTATGTAAGTATCTCATGCATTCAGTTTCTTCCTTTAATGGAATGTTACGTTAGAATCTCGTGCATTCTCCGTTTTCTCTTGTAATCAATTGTTACGTTCGTATCTCGCACATTCTCTGTTTTCTATTGTAATAGATTGTTACGTTAGTATCTCGCGCATTCTCTGTTCTCTCCCGTAATTGATTGTTACGTTAATATCTTGCGCATTTACAGTTTTCTCCTGTAATGGATTGATAGTTAGTATTTCGCGCATCCTCTTTTTTCTCCTGTAATCGATTGTTATGTAAGTATCTTATGCATTCTGTTTCTTCCTTTAATGGAATGTTACGTTAGAATCTCGTGCATTCTCCGTTTTCTCCTGTAATCAATTATTACGTTAGTATCTCCTGCATTTCTGTTTTCTCCTATAATCGATTGTTACGTTAGAATCTCGCGCGTTCTCTGTTTTCTCCTGTAACAGATTATTACTATAGTATCTTGCGTATTCTCTCTGTTTTCTCCTGTAATCGATTGCTACGTACGTATCTCGCGCATTCACTGTTTTCTGCTGTAACAGATTATTACTATAGTATCTTGCGTATTCTCTCTGTTTTCTCCTGTAATGGATTGTTTCGTTAGTATCTCGCGTATTTTCAGTATTCTATTGTAATGGATTGTTACGTTTGTATCTTGCGTATTCTCTCTGTATTCTATTGTAATGGATTGTTACTTTAGTATCTTGCGTATTCTCTCTGTATTCTGTTGTAATGGATTGTTACGTTAGTATCTTGCGCATTCTCTCTGAATTCTATTGTAATGGATTGTTACGTTAGTATCTTGCGTATTCTCTCTGTATTCTGTTGTAATGGATTGTTACGTTGGTATCTTGCGTATTCTCTCCGTATTCTGTTGTAATGGATTGTTACGTTAGTATCTTGCGTATTCTCTCTGTATTCTGTTGTAATGGATTGTTGCGTTAGTATCTCGCGCATTCACTGTTTTCTCCTTTAACGGACTGTTACGTTAGTATCTTGCGCATTCTCTGTTTTCTCCTGTAACGGATTGTTACGTTAGTATCTTGCGCATTCTCTGTTTTCTCCTGTAATGGATTGTTACGTTAGTGTCTTGCGCATTCTCTGTTTTCTTTTGTAATGGATTGTTACGTTAGTGTCTTGCGCATTCTCTGTTTTCTTTTGTAATGGATTGTTACGTTAGTATCTTGCGTATTCTCTGTTTTCTTTTGTAATGGATTGTTACGTTAATATCTTGCGTATTCTCTCTGTATTCTGTTGTAATGGATTGTTACGTTATTATCTCGCGCATTCACTGTTTTCTCCTGTAACGGATTGTTACGTTAGTATCTTGCGCATTCATTGTTTTCTCCTGTAATGGATTGTTACGTTATTATCTTGCGCATTCCCTGTTTTCTCCTGTAATGGATTGTTACGTTAGCATCTTGCGCATTCACTGTTTTCTCCTGTAACGGATTGTTACAGGAGTTATCTCGCGCATTCCCTGTTTTCTCCTGTAATGGATTGTTACGTTAGTATCTTGCGCATTCATTGTTTTCTCCTGTAACGGATTGTTACGTTATTATCTTGCGCACTCCCTGTTTTCTCCTGTAATCGATTGTTACGGCAGTATCTCGCGCATTCTCAGTTTTCTATTCTGTAATATATTTCAAAAGTATCTCGCCCATTCTCAGCTCCCTCCTATGATATTATACATAAAAATATTTCTCCATTCTGATGAGCTGAGAGAAATGCAGTTTTCACGTAATACAATGCACAAGAGAGGTAAAAGAGTGCACATCATTTATAGTTAATGTGGCGCAAATCATGATTAGACCGCCGAACTTTTCTGGCGACTCGATATCTTGAAAAAAAAAAAAAACCAAAAAACAACAAACAATTAAATAATGTTGTTCTTATTTAAACAGGTTGCCTTGACCTGACGCACTGTGACATTTGCAGGGTCTGAATATTAGATTAGTATCTCACACGTCATCAGTTTCGTCGTGGGATCGATTGTTACGTTACTACCTCGCACGTTTTTAGTTTTTCCTGTGTTCGATTCTTGCTTAACAATTAGATTATAAACTCGAGATTTTTATCGCGTGATATTTGAAGGCTGAATCGACTATCATACATATCATACATGAATCGACTACCATACAAACCGAATCGTGAGAGAATAATACGGTAAATCTACTAGTCATTCAAAACTTTACACCATGACAGAACGCTTCATGTTTCTGTGCTTGTTTTTATTTCCAATCACAAACCGTGGGTCCACGCATCCTACTCACTGCCTGTTGTGGAATTGATGGCGAGTTGCTTGGCCATTCAGATTACAGCATTTGGATTGGTGAAAACATTGTGTTTCTAGACTAACCCCTCGGCACAAAAAGGTTGAGAAAAACAAGTATTTAATTGGCATTCAACTCCAACGATCGATTAACTTATGACAATAGTGTCATATTTCCCCAAGAAAAATAATTAAACTTGATAACGATTCAGCGATAGAACTTGATAATATCATGGTTCTTCAGCGCAACTGAGTGACATCGCCAACAATCATGTGACCGTGGCTCATCCCACGCTGATCTTTAAGGTTACTCAAACGCGTGCTCAATCTCCACAAAGGGGCAGGAGATGAGGTCATCATATAGTAACATGTATTCAAAGATCGCCAAGTGGTTCTTTATCTGTTCGGATTTGTTGAATGTTTTTAGGTAAGTTTAGACATCAGTAGAAGCTTCACCTCCCATAAGGACTCGGAAGGAAATTCTAACTCCTCGACCATTGGTACTGAGTTGCAACGGCTTTTTTAAAGCCCTTGTCAACCGAAGTAGTGAGAATTTGAAGTTACCTTCCTCAGATTACGTATGTTCATGCGCTACGGAGATAACCAAACTACATCGGAAAAGCTCTCAGTGATTTCTTGCCAGTGAAATAAGTCATTAAATAGGAAAAGAGGAGCAAAGAAGAATGAAAACGTAATAAAGAACTTTGGAATTCAGAAGCACGTGGCCGCGGCATCTATTGTTCTACATGTGAGAGCTTTAGACTGTTGCGTTTAAACAAACTGCGGCTTTGAAAATTTGAATGAAACGAAGATGGATGTGTTGATAGGCTAAACATTTGAGACTTACTGATCGTGAGGAGAGAGAGGATGAGATTAAAAGTCACGTTAAAACTAGAGGCTACTAGTTTATTTCGTTTGCTTTTCAGTCATAATTTATGCAGATATTCAGTTTCTTTCTCTTTGTCTACTTAAGCAATTTTTTTTGCTCGTTAGGCCGTCAAGTCATGTTGGTCTTAAAATATTCTAATCGTGCTTCGTAGTGCACTGTTTGGTGCGATCACAGTTACCTTCATTCGTGAAATTATGTGTCAATGATGACTTTCCACTTTGATTTCTCACCAGGTTTCGAGAGACATACTGTACTCACGCTGCTTGAGGTTATGGCGGCTTCTCTTGTCAATTTTCTTTGCTCCGAATTGGTACTGTAGATTGGTCGATGAATTACCAACTAGTACTGCAAAGTTTATCTTGGCTAACGGAGACAGGATGGATCAGAAGTTACTGTCGAGCAAACGTCATGAGAAACATTACTTGTCCCCAGACCTTGCCCGAGCACCGAACGCTCACATGACATATCAACGAAAGAGTATTTACTTCTGCTTTTCTTTGATTCTTTCGTTCACTACCTTCCGTCTCTTGTAAGGTAAGCAGGCGTGTTTTTTGTTTATCTGTAGTAAGGGTTCTTTTTTTGGTGATTTTTCACTTCATTACAAAGTCGTAATCGAAAAACGGAGTCGAAAAACGAATGAATCCTCCTGCGGCACGGAAAATTATCGAACAAAATTAACGCTTGACACACCGCGTAGCTGCACGTGGATATGCGAACTTGAAAACAAATTATAGTTTTTAATCCGATGATTATTTCTGCATTCTTTAAGTTGCCTTTCCACGTGCCCACTTATTCTCGCGTTTCAAAAGTACTTGTTATGTTTATGTGTAAATTGTGAAACATTTTAAGTTGAAATGTACAAAACGTACTTAGCACGCAATGAGCGACATTCATGGGGGAGACAGTCGGAATGAACGAAAAGATATTCGGTTTAACATGGTAGCTACTAGCCTGTTCAGTTTCATTAACATGTTATCCGCTCAAAGTGATAAAATGGGTACAAGAAACTTGTTTAAAAAGCCAAAACAAGACAAATCAGTACAAACTTCGCGTGACATTGCTAGGAGACATGTCGCGCGCGGGTTGTGCTTGTTTGAAAGGCATGGAGTGTTTGCACGCGTGTAAGAACGTGCGAAATTTTTTCTGAACACTCGACAACTCTGAGCAACTCCGAGGATGTTTCCATGTGACTGAAACAGAAAATATCGACCTCTTGGATTTCCTATTGCTCTAAGATTCTACATTTGTTCAAAAGTGCCCAAACAAATGTAAAAGATGCATTTTTGTGCTTTGAATTTTCAGTCATGGATGAACGTAACAGAAACAACCCTGACATGTTGCGAGAACTTAGCGACACCGAGGTACTGTATTGTGAGCGAATTGAACATTGTTTTGTTAATATAGTTGCCCTGATCATTTTAAAATTATTTTTAAACCTCATGAGAAAGTTATTATACACTCTGGCGCCTTCTCGACATGTGGATGTGCATCGATGCGCTTCGCACTTGCCATTCTGTGAGAGGTTTATTTTTCTTAATTCAAACAAAGAAATCGCATATTCAAGCTAAGATACTCTTGAATCACCGCAGGAGCAGGATGTTTTGAATTTTGCGTTCAGGCTTAAGTTCCTCAACTTCTTCTCAGTTGATTTACATTCAAGAAAGATGTTGTTGTAAGATTGGCAAAGTAAAGTTATTCATCGTACTTTCCTAGAATAGGGTTGGATTGCATGAAGATGTTGTTTTATTACTTTTGCTGTTTGAGTTACTTGCTAATCCTATTTTTATTTGTATTTTAAATTGATTTTAACCTGTAGTTTTAATTGCCGCTTTTACCCATTCATCTATTTTTATTAACTCTTTTACTTATTTATTTTAACTGATAGATGTAGTTATTTATTTTGGGCCTCCACTGCCAAAAGCAATGTTTTTAATTTTACTTCGCAATAAAGGAATCAATTTGTAATCTTCTTGCCCCAAAGTCACAATAGACTGTATACAGTGAATAAGCCAATGCTTCAACACAGGCTCTGATTTAGAGTGCAACAAATTGACCACCTTGGGCACAGCATCGATCCAAGTTCTTGTATAATACTTATCTCACCAAGTTTTTCAAATGTCCATGTTTTTCGTCTTGTCATGAGGACAAAGAAAAAATTCTGAGTCCTTGAGAGGAATCAAACCTCAGATCTTTGGATTCTGCGCTCTGATGCTCTGCCCCTGAGCCACAGACTCTACGGTGAGCATAGAAAAGGTGTGGGTGAAAAGATACGCTGCAATGCTAGAAAGTAACACAGGACACTGAGTAAAGTTTGGTACCCAGACCAATCCATTGGGTTTTCATTGCTCTGAAACACTTATTTCCCAGCAATTTTTATTTTGGATCAGGAAAGAATTGTTAGGGGAGAAGTTCACCCCAATAATCAGGAAGCCCAGCTGATGCGTGAATTCCTGGCTCAAGCCAAGAAGGCATTGGATTTTGCCTCAGGAGTGATAGATTTAATGGAACAAAAACTTCCACCTGAACCAGAACCTGAACCTCAACTGGAACCTCAACCTAAGAAGAAGAAAAAGTCTCACTAAAAGAGAGTGGTATGTAACTGACCAAATCAACATCTTTCTTTAGTTACCATTTGTATTAAGAAAGGTTGTAACTATTGCTGAAAGATGTGGCTCAATTAAAACCCTGTCATTTTTCAAAAGCAGACCTTGTCTTGTTAAGTGCAGTTACACACACCACAGTAAGGGCATTTCCCAGGGTAGATCTTTCTTTGTTGTATCTCATGCATTTTTTAAGGCATTGTGTTCACCAGTGCTTACATGCAATTTGTGACTTGCAAATGTCATGCAACAGAGCCCTTAAGTCTCGCGCATTAAGCATGAGACTTATGGTTCAATCTTACGCTTTCACATGGAAGTTTCTATTTCTCATGCATGTATGGTTTATGATTGAAACTTCTGATTTTGAGATAGCAAATAGCTGCTGTAGTTAATTGTCTATCAAATGAATAATATCCTTTTAAATATTATTTACTCCCTGTTCCCTTTGTACTCACTTAGAAGACTTTCCAAAGGTGGTCATTCTTGCACAGAATAAAGGAATGCACATCTTTAGTGGCTACTTCATTTTTTCAAAACTTTTAAGGGAAGCAGACCCTAATACCCCCCCCCCCCCTAGCAAATCCATTTGAGAGCTTGATCTGCATGCAACCTCTCCTAGTCATGAGGTCTTATTTTATTTCCCTATAGGTCCTATAGTAATGGGCAAATCAGTGCAAAGAAGATTTTGAAGTGGTTATTGCTTGCAACCATATCACAGAGTACTTATCTCTTAATAAGAAACATTTGATATGAGCATATTTAAGTGCATGCATGGATTCTTCCTTGTGCATGGCTTTGGTGTGAAAGATTGCTAAGCAATGGATTACTTGGATTCTCTGGCTTGTGTAGAGCACTGTCTTAAAGACCAAGCTAAGCATTCTTTTGCTGATTTCTTTTAACCTCTGTGGCACCTATTCTACAGTGTCTGGAATGTCAACTATGTTGATCATAAAATTTTTCCTTTCCACATTGCCTTCATTTTTCTTGCAAGGTTGTGATATTTTATTGCCTTTATTACCACTGGTTTTATTAATTTCATTCATGGATTGATGTGAATATTTTTGTTTGTCTTTCAGTTTATAGATAAGCCAAGTTCAACTTGTCCTCCTGATTTCTCTCACTTGATTCCTGTTGTGTAGGAGTATTATTTAGGTGACCTTTGTGTAGATCCTGTAGTTTTAGGGACAACTGTCACTACCATAGCCTTAGTATAATAAATTTTGTATAGTCCTCCAATCCATCATAATTTGGGAAAGCTTTTATTCAGTGGTTCTATTGGAGTAGTTTGTTGTAGACAAAGCATTGACAGTCCTCTGGACAAGTAGTTAAGCATATCTGTACGTGAAATTATTGTTAGACATGTGACTCTCAAACTGAGTGAATAACAACTAGTGAATTTAATGACCAAATAGGGGAAAAAGTAATGTGACAAGTGACCAAAGATAAAATTATCTGAACAGTTATCAATAACACTAGGTGTGTCATAGAAATTTCCTGTTTGTCTTAGGCAATTGCTTTGGTTTTGTATTCTTTATTTAGACCTTGTGGGACTTTGCATTCTGGCTTTATTTAGAAAAATGTTCTCATTTAAATAGCTTTCTGTTGATATTATTTGTTTAGTTTGATCCTAAGCCTAACAGCATTTGTACATGTTTTATAAGCTTGCTCATTTTGCTATTGTTTCCCTAGTGATTCACTGTATCACAGCTTGAATTTCTTTTTCAATCATTAGTTGTAAATATTTCTCTAAATTCAGTCTCACTTCGTGCTGAGTCATCGGCTGTTACTGTTTTTTCTCATTTTAAACTGGACTAGCGTTTGCTACATAATTTTGTTACAGCGTAACTCCTGATGTTAACCTTTGGTTGTGTTTTTCGTGTGATGGTTCGCAAATTTTATCGCTTTTACTTTTTAAATTCATTTACATCAATTGATATGGTATTTAGGCTTATCTTAGATTGGTTATTTTCCATTACTTTAATGTTACTCATTCCGGGTTTTCTCCTTAATTTATTGTTCGTCCTGATATTCCAATAAACTCTTTAACCTTAAACTTGAGGTGAAAGTTTTGTCTGCCTTACATTAGGATTTTCGGAAGATTTTCGGAGTGATGCCTTGTTTTTTGTTTGTTTGTTTGTTTGTTTCTTCGTTTGCTTTAGGTTTTTGTGATGCACATGAAACGGTAATTACGCTCAGCAGTTTCAACTCCCTTTTTGGTGATTCGTTCCCCTTACCATTTCACCCCGAGATGGGAGAGGTACTCTTCGGAATTCTCGACATTATTCTGACCCTATTTCTCTACGAACCGTTACCATTTTCATACATAAAATTATCTTTTGTTTGGGAACCCATCGCACTTTTATATAGCATAAATAACTTTAAGCTAAGAATAACTACCACGAGAACATGAAAACAATCTTAAGTAACCAAGTGTTAATCAATTGTACAGGGTGTTCAAAAGTTTGTGCCCGTTTTGGAACATAGATGGAAAAAAATTTTCTGTCGAGGTTTCCTTGCTAAAAGGACGTAAAAAAAAGTTGGTGATTTCACGTCTTTTGTTCTGTAGGGGACGGCTAAGCAATGTACGTGTTTCGCAATTGTTCTGCTTATTAGATATTTTGTTTCTTTTGCTTTCTCGTCGCCGTCGTGGGTTTTTTTTCAAGTTCCTATTGTTTTTGGGACCAGATCCTTGTCAATAATGCTCCGGAAATTTTGCACTGGGTTAAGGACTGGTGATTTTGCAGGCCACTCATTTTTTCTTGTAAAATTGGGTAAGTTTCTCTGGCTTCATGTCTCATTGAATTTGCAGATGGCATTCCGTTTGTCAATCTTGGTCCATCTTCCATTAATTGCTCCAGTCTCTGAACTATCATGTTGCCACGAGTGCACAGTTCCTTCGAACGTGAGATCCCGTCTCAAAATTTTGCGACGATTGCTAGGCTGGTCGTTACAGCCAGGAAGGATCCAGAGGCAATAAGTCCGTTTTCCAGTCTTTCTGATCCCCGGTCAAATTAAAATCAAAAAAGAAACGAGCGCCCTGTTTCGCCCTCCCTTGAGGTACCAAAAGTAAATAAGCGCCCGGGCGTTAACTCGAATTATTATGTTCTGCGAAAAAGGCAAGAAATAGCGGTTCCCTAAAGGGATCATATCTCCTTGGGAATTTTATATTTCTGACCTGTTATTTTAACAAAGGAGGTAAGTTTCTAAAGAAACAGTGGTGCTACGTCGGTAGGAGAGTATAGCAGGTAATTTAGCGTTAACAACTGAATTGAAAATGTAAATTGGCCACCGTAAAGAGTTAAAAGGCTGACGTTTCGAGCGTTAGCCCTTCGTCAGAGCGATTTCCAGTTGACCAATCGCTTTTGAAGGCACACAACCGAATACGTCTCGTAGATACTCTGTCTAAGCCAGTTGCTCATGAGTGAAAGGACATTGTTTGCATTGGATCTTTACGGGCCCGGTCAGTGAAACAAATCTATTCAATTAAATGGCAAAAAATTCGATTCGCACCAACGTTACTTTCTTGTACAGAAAAGGCTAAGTAAAGACGCTACGAGGCTCGAAAAAAGAAGAAATAGACATGGCCTTGAAGATGTAGAAAGGAAAATGTTCTCTACGTGCGAATCAAATTTACCCCGACGGAAAAAATTTAATGTGCATGCTTCAGCTCTTGCAATTAACTAAGAGAAAGAGAAAAATTTATGAAAATTAAGAGAGGCCTTGAGACTAATAAGAATAGTTATTCGGCGTAAACATGCGAAGAGGCTATAAGTTTCTTCTTCTCGTAGAAGCCAAAAATCAGTCAAGCGTGACAGCAGAGCTGATTATTCAACCAGTCAATATTCAACCGGTCAAAAGCCGTGAACAGCAGGTATTATTTTACGTACTCGTGTATGTGTGAATGGATGTATCAACACATCATGTTGATCACGTGATCGTGGTGAGTCCACGTCATTGCATCATATCGTTACTATTTTTAGACAATAGTTAGCATCACACCCAACATGGCTTTTGGAATTCTGTTATTTATTTGTTGCGTTTCCTTTCATCTCTTCAGGTGAGTTTAAATATCATTAGAGGCTTCTCTTATACGGTGAAAGGGCTATTAAGATAATCATAGAAAGGAGGGAAAAGGGAGTAAGGCATGTGTAAAACGTCATTGACGTTTTCCTGACACGTTTTCTCCCGCCTGCTTCCACTGCTCGTCATGTCGGCATGTGTTACGTTTTAAAGACAGCGGCTTTGGAAGTTTGAAAGTAGCCATCGCTTTATTCATCGACTCAATTTTCCAAACTTAATAATCCTGATGATGAAAGGGTTTCAATATCCACAGCCTTATGGCCCTGCCGATTTCTGAGAGTAAGTATCGAATAGTCGAATCATGGCGGCTACTCTTACTTGTTGAGGAAGAAGAAAAATAATTCAACCGCGGATCATCCTCGGATCAGGATACGTTACCATTAGCACTGAAACATCTATCGAGTATAGTGATGTTAAGCACAAGAAGACATCGTTAATTGTTAGCTTTAGAGTTAGTTAATGCAAATATATCAAGTTTTATCAGGAGCCCATCACAAGTAGTGGCCTCTGGTTTTATTTTTCTGTGCAATAATTCACTTTTTTTTCTCTCAGAGGCATCAAATCGTGTGGGGAATGAAAATGTTCTTATTATGTTGTAGTGAAATGTTTTTTGCGATCACAGTTCTCTTATCTCAATGTACTCTTTGTCAATGATCACATATTGAATTCATTCCTTTTTTTAATTTATCAACAGGAAGTTCAAGTGAGAGAAAGTCACGCTTCAGTTAAAATCATGGCCTCCGTTGCCAATGTTAGATTGCAAAGGATTTGAAACGAGGATTGGGCGAAACCAAAAAACAAAATAATGAAAAGTTAAGCCTGAGGATGGCAGACAAGTTTCTGTCTTTCAACCACAACAACATCAAATGTAAACGAAAAACGACACATCAAAAAGCAGTAAGAAATGGGCTGAAGTGTGACGAGTGACGTCACAGACTAGTTTCCTGGCATGCGCAGAGGACGGTGGAGTCGGTATGGTAATTTTGCTACACAGAGTTGTATAAAAGAGGGCGCAAAACAAGTCACCAGTCTCAACACTGAAAAGTGAGAAAATATCGTCTGCCGAACCTGACGCGTAAATCGACGACATTTTCCTTTTACTTCAGGTGAAGTTAATTCATTTATTTTTACAAGGTTCTACCTTCAGTGCGATTTACTTTGAAAATCATCGATGATCGAAAATGTGCAAGCATCAAAACTCTTCGTTTCTGTAGTTGCATGGAACTACGAATTTCCATGTGGAACTCGTACAACTGAGAATTGACCAAAGTCTAGGTAACTCGTGGAAATCCAGAAATGAGATGATAGCGTAAAGTCGCTTTTTCTTTATTTTTTTTAAACTAGCCAGCCGCTCAAGGTGATGTCGCTCAAGGTGATGGCGCGTCACAACTTGAAACAAAAAAGGGGGAGGCGGTAGCGCGTGAAGTATTTTAAACCAGCTCGTACGCTTGAGCAGTTACCTCGGAGACAAAAGTTGTCGAGCCATTTTTGAAACTTTTCTTGAAACTTTTCTTTTATTTTCTCCATCGATCATCTCCTAGTAAATACAATTAAAAAATGGATCACCAAACTCGCAAAGAGATATGACGAGCTTATCTTCCTCAACAAGCTCCACTTATGCATTTACTGTTATATGAATAACGCTAGTTCTTCTATCGGTTTACTAAACACCTTGCGTATGGAAGGTTGTAATCTGTTTTGAGTAACGCCGTTGCCAGCCTTTGTTCACGCTCTGAGTTATGACCTTTTTCCCTTCCGATCAATTTGCTTTTAATTTTTTTTCTTCAAAGGGGACAATTGGTGCATCAGAAGTATGAAATTAAAAAAAATGTTGCTCGTTGAAAAAAAAAAAGCATTGACTGTGACATCTAAACCAAAAAATTCGCATGTTGCGGGAATGCGCACGAGAATTAGGTTTGAGTCTCATCATGCGAATATTATGCGCAGTACAAGATGCGCAGTGTGATACTAGGGGAATCACCCTGAAAGACCATGGCGCGCCAACGATAATCTGGAACAGTCACGAACTCTAATAATTGGTTTTGGAATTTTCCATTATGAAACAAATATAGGCTATGGAGTTCTTATTTCTTTTACAACCATAGTATTAAAGCTTTTGCTTTTGTTTTAAATAGCTCTAGGCTGGGATGGATCGTCCGAAGAAAGAGCCGGAGGAGAACACTGATGACGAGGTACAAATTTGTGAACATATCAATGTTGTAGAACTATGATGGATAGTAGTTGTAACAGGCTGACTGGGTAGAAATAATAAGTTTTTATTTCATAAGAAGCTATTGCGGTTACGTTCGAGTTACATTCATTATTCTGCACTTGAAAGGCGGATGTGTTACATTGCATGTTCGTTCTCCATCGAATTAGAATTCTTTATTGACATGTATGACAAACTTAAGAGATGAAAGGAAATGTATCAGGGTGATGGATTAAGACAGAATAACCAACACCCTTCTTCAAAATCACTCTAGATTGTTGGCTACATCTGCCAACAGTTGAGAGTGACTGAGAAAACAGTCATTTTACATGTTAATTCAATTGAGATTTTCAGACTAAGATATGTTAAAAAACCCATTATGCAGTGCAATATTAATAACAATCTTATATTTCTCAACATTTCTGTAGTTTGTCTTGCATGTAATGCACTCATAGGGTGCTATGCTTGTGGTTAAATTGGGTAAAATGTCTTTAAGTGTAGACTATTGAAAACATCACATACGATTTGGAAGATTCTTCAGGCTGTCATTGATTAAGCATACAAAAAAATATCCCTTCTCCTCCTTCTTTTTTTGGAAGAAGTACTTGTTTAATTCTTAAGGGCTGTATCATTTATTATTTCAGGGAGAATAACAATTTTTGAGGCAGGCATTTTCTCTTTAAAAGAGTTGTGCTAAAACAACATTTAGTTTTCGTTTTGGAAAAATTAGAAAAAATCCACCAACAGGGCATAATCGCTTTCTTATAGTGGGATGAAAGAACAAATATGACAGCCAAGATGAATCATCTGAACATGTCTAGTTAAATAGACTTATTGGCTCACACTACACAGTTTGGTGATACTAACGACAGCCAAGGTGCTTGTCACTTGAAAACCTACTTATTGCCTAGCTAACCATTGAGTTTCCTGTAGATCAGTGGCAGAGCATCATAGTGTGAAATGCACTAGTCAAGAGTTTTGCTCCTTTATCCCGTGGTGTTGACAAAACAAATATCATCCTCATTCAACGACAGAGCTCAAATTAACCATCTTTCTCTTTTATTTACTCATACAATCTTTTGGACAATGTTGATCCCGGCAATATGCAGGATGATTGGCACTTTACAACCTAGTTAAGACCACTTTACCTTTGTGTTCTCTGTGACTAAATTGGAAGGTCTGGGGTTTGTTTAATGATGGAGATTCTGATCTTTTGTTTTTCTTGTGCTTATAAAAAATGAACATCTTTCTTATTACCTTACATATAATTGGTCTGAATGACACTAGATAGTTTTTTACCAACTTGTGTGCCTGCATTTCTAACACTATTCTATTTGCAGATGAGGACATTGCAATTTGTTCCAGTTTGCCATGAAATTTTAATATATAAGATTGTAGTTTTTCTTATCTTTGGTTTCATGACATTGAAGAATTGATTTTGTTTTCCACCAGGAAGAAAACGTGCAAGGGGCTATATACAATGAAGAGATACCAATATTAGTGTTGGTTACTTTTGTATTGGTGTTAATCCTTCTGCACTAAGAAAGGTATGTGATTATCACAATGTCAAATTCATAATAATCATAATTACAAATTTCCTTGGTACATTTGTTAAACATGCACCAATAAAGTGAAAAAAATAGACTTCACAAAAACTTGTTTGTATAAATATGATTTGTTTGGATTAATATTTACCTCTTATCCTCAACATACTCAGTTTTATATCTCCCTGATCTCCTCCTCTGACAATTATTACATTGTTCCATGAATAAGTAAGATCAAAGCCTTTGTAAAAGGCCAACATCAAGTGTCATCAAATAGTGACATAAAATTTTGAAAGTTATCCCTAGACTAAAACCAGAGCCTTGAAACGTGTTTGATTGAGCAGCTAAATCAAAAGAAAAAAGAGAGTAACCATATCTGTGACAGACTAAAATTTTGAATTAATCAATTGCAGGGGTTACCAAAATATAGAAATATGTTTGGCTGAAAAGAAAAAACCTCTTATCCATTTCTTAGTGGTCACCTTTTTTTATAACACCATGTTTGAAGACTGGGTTGAACTTCCTCTTACCTCAATTAATGTTTCCCTTTTACTCTCTTCAGGATGCCAAGAGTATACAATTAGATACCTTCACTGGAAAAATACATTTACTGTTTTAAAATGTTTTGTTGCAAATTCTTAATGTTTCCTTCCTTTATTGAAAATGTAAATTCCTTTGTTTGCAAGGGATCGATGTTGTAATGTTAATGAACTAGGATAAAACAATAGGACAATAGGGAACTTGATTAAGTGCAAAGGTTACATAAGATAACACATGTCCCAGAGCAGAACTTTAAGTAGACAAGTTGCATGCATTTTTGTCAGTTGTAGCTTTAGGATTTAGCTGTGTATCTTAAAGTTTGGTCAGCCAATTTAAATCCACAGTGTAGTGATGTTATTCCGTGCTTAGACACAACAATTGAGCTTTAATAACTAGAACCCAGATAAGGTTGTGTCTGGACAAATTTATTGGCTAAAAATTAAATCTTGTATAATTAATTATTAGTGATTTTAAATTTTTTAAGCTGTAGCTAAGGCCCTATTGCCAATTTACTGTACATTATGTACTTTTAATAAACTAATATGGCTTAGCCTTCGAGAAATGTCTCCTGAGTCTCATGCTCTGTAATATATAGTTGATGAAATGCTTTTTAGTTGTTATTATGACCTGCAAAACGCTTTGATGCAATGCTTATGTACTTCATACTCTAGAAAACAATCATAGAACAGAAAAAAAGCAGTTGCCCTTGTAGAAGACACAGGGGCCCTTTGCTGGGTTATTGTGTTGTGTTCTTTAGCCAGAAACTTTACTCTCACAATAAACTCTCTTCATCCAGGAGTAGAAATGGAAACTGGTGAACTGTTAAACCTTAAATTCCTGTGAGTGACAAAGACAGAATCTCTCCTTACTATATCTATACAATATCATGTAAACAAGTGACAAATTCTCCAAACTAACAAAATAAGAATTGTTTGGTAGACCGTGAGGAGAATTACAAATGAGACCTTGGGAGTTAAAGGACAAGGAAGCCTGAAAAAATGATGCAGGCAGGTAGTGGGGTGTTGATGTTCCTCAAGGCAGTTTCTTGGGGCTACTCTTGTTCAACATATTCATCTATGATTTAAAGTTTGTTGTTCAAGTTTCTTCCTTGCATGCAGAGGCTCTACGCTGGTGACACAAAAGCTTATGCATCGAATTTTAACATTGAAGCTTTGGAACTCTTTCTTTACTATGATCTGAAGAAGCTTATTCATGGTCTGACACATTATTCCATTAAGTTACAAAAAAGTGATTCTTAAAGTATTTTTTTGATGAAATGAAGGTTCCAAATGTGATATCAAATTAATAAAAATTATGCAAGTGTCTCAGAAGTCACTCAAAATTTGATCTTTTTCTGACACATTGAGTTCTGACCGTGTCACTAGCACACTGGACATGGTTTCCATGATATTCCATGGTAAGCAGTTGTTATATATTTGGGTGAAACCAACCCTGAACTGTTAAATTACTTTAATAAATTTTACCTCTCTTGAATACATCAGCTTTTTCATTACATAATAAGGTAGTTTGGTAATAAAAGTTTTTTGGTATGACTATGGTTGACTGAACCATAGTCTCTAGCTAAAGGTGATCATCATCAGACACCATGGTCACCACCATAGTCAACCATGGTTGACTCTGAAAAACCATGGTACCATGGTCAATGTGATGCCAGTTCATTTCTGATCACTTTATAGCCAATAGCAAGAAAACCCAAGCTATGATTCTAGGCAACTCTGCTCAAGAACCTGCTCTTTGTGTTGGTGATTTTCCTATTAAAATAAATCACTTCTCGAACATTCTTGGTATTTACATCAACAACAAGCTTTCCTTCAAAGATCACATATCAGCTACTATATCAGTTTATGTGGAAATTGAAGCTCTCTTAAGATGCCTAAAAAACTTTGTACTTACTGATTTTACACTTATACTGTACAAGGCTTACATACTGCCACACCTTGAGTAACGTAGTCCACTTTTATTAAGGACCAGTAAGACTGATCAATAAACTCTAATCTGCCAACTATTATGTGCTATAGACCTTCTTAAATTCAGGTAACAGCTTAGCCTAATAATTCTATAATGTCTATTGCAAATATGCATTCTCTCAAACATAGAAGTAACGAGCAATCTCTTATCTAAATCCTTTGATGTTTAAAGGAAAATGGGCCTGGTTATCTCTAATCTTTTCGAGAACTGTAAGACCCATTATAATGATTTAAGGGATAGTGGTCATAAACTGCTGAAACTGTATTACTGTTTATCTTATATGCATTTTTATTGTTTTAGCCTGATACTTTTGATTTTAGTGAGTATTTTATTTTATTTTACTTACTGCCATGCGTCTTGTACATGAGCCTCTGGCTTGCATACACAGGGCAACCGATCCCACGCACCGACATTAGTAAATTGATTGAGTTATAGATTCATTCATTGTCCTGCAGTCGGTTGTTACTTTGGCATCTCGCGCATTCTCAGTTCATTTTCGTGTGATCGATTGTTGCCTTAGCATCTTGCACATTCTCAGTTCTCTCCTGTATTCGATTGTTAAGTTAGTATCCCCTGCATTCTCAGTTTTCTCCTACATTCAGTTGTTGCGTTAGCATCTCGTTTATTCTCAATTTTGTCTCGTATTTGATTGTTACGTCAGTACTTCGTTCATTCTCAGTTTTTTCTCGCATTTGATTGTTACGTTTGTTTCGCGCGCAATGTCAGTTTTCTCCTGTTTTCGATTGATATGTTAATTTAATATCTCATGCATTCTCTGCTTTCTCCTGTATTGGATTGTTGTGTTGGTATCTTACGCATTCTCAGTTTTCAACTTCATTCGATTATAACATTCCGCATATTGCGCGTTCTCCGTTTTCTCCTGTATTCAATTTTTTCTTTAGCATTTCGCGCATTCCCTCCCGTATTCGATTATTTTCATCCTGCATTCAATTTTTACGTTAGTATCTCGTGCATTCTCAGTTTTCTCTTGTATTCAGTTCTTACGTTGGTATCTTGCGAAAAGAAGATAGAGTTTATGTTCGCAAGCATAGATAATTTTAAAATTTGTTTGGGCTAGACTGAGGGTAATTTCAGCCCGAGCCGTTTGAAGAGGGTTAAAATGACTCTGAGAAGGGTTCAAAAAAATTTACGCATAAGAACATACACTCTTTTTCTATTTTTTTTGTTTGTAATAACGTCTAATTTTGGGGCTGAAGCTGAACGCTCTTCTTTTTTTTTTTGCGATTTGAGCCTAAAACCAAACGTTCTTAACCTTTCCTTAAAGTTGTGAGGTATAGTATTTCAATACATTAATTCGGACGTGATCAGACTACAAACTGAGTTGTTCTTTAATGTATCGTGCAGTCGGAAAACCGCATTGTTAATTTTAAAAAAAAGTCTCTTAGTATTTTGTCCTGTTAGGTCACAGTTTTACATTTCTTTTACCTTTATTTAAACTTTCCACATAAAAAGTACAAAATAAAGACTTTCTTAACTGACTCTCCGCCTGGGTATGTTCTTAGGATGTTCTTAAAATTTTGGGTAACCTCTGCCTGAATGTCCTTATAAAACGGGAATATAAATTTTATTACTATTACAATCACTCTTGAGGGAAATGAGAAATTAAAAAGTGACAATAATGTCAATAAAACAGTCTGAACAATCACGTAAGCGTGCGAGAAATGCCAAAATCTCTACTCCAGTGGAGTTAGAACAGTCAGCCTGAGCGACAGTGTTAATGATTCTTTCTGTGATTCTTTGTCCTTCTTGAGTACATCGAGCTAATGCTTTTGGTGCTTTCACGAGGTAGAATATCAAGCGTTACATTATTTGAATTCGTTCCTTAACAAAGCTGGAAATCGAACGATCTGTTTTTCCTTGACCGTCATTTGCAAACATTGATAAGAGAGGTTAATAATTCTGATTCATTATAAAGAACTTCCAACTGAGCAACTTCTCTGACTCGCCATTGTTAAAGACGATAAACACTCAATTTAAATATGCATACTGATTTGATAGGTAATTGCTCAAATTTTTGTGGCATTGTTACCTACTAGAAGTTTGGGGAACATTATAGATTTTTACCTAAATTGATATGATTTTTTGCTTGTATCTTGCTGTATACCGTCAAGGTATATAATGTGTAAATGCACTGGAGTCCTCGCCTGCCCCAATCTGCTACTCAACTAGTAATTTAGTGTTAACAACTGAGCTGAAAACGTAAATTGGCCACCGTAAAGGGTAAAAAAGCTGACGTTTCGAGCGCTAGCCCTTCGTCAATCGCTCTGACGAAGGGTAACGCTCGAAACGTCAGCTTTTTTACCCTTTACGATGGCCAATTTGCGTTTTCAACTCAGTTGTTAACACTAAATTACCTGCTATACTCTCTCACCGACGCAGCACCACAGTTTCTTCAGAAACTTACCCCCTTTATTCACCTGCCACGCAGCTACTTTGGAACGGACGCTGTAGACCGTGCGCTTCCCCCAAGTCTGATATCATTGTAAAAAGACCGATATTCAACAATAAAGAACATATGCATGTGTCAATAGCATCTCGTTTTACAATAAAATGGAATTTAACTGTCAAGGTATGTTATAACTTCGTTCTTGCTGTGACAGCCATGTCTTTATATTGTAATGTAGACACTCATGTGACCGTAGTGACCAGATGAAACGCCCACAAAAAGCCTCTAATGTTTGATTTCGTCCAGCTATGGAGTTAAAGGACTTTCGCCAGTCGGCGATAGAGCCAAGATCGACTGAAGTTGTAATTCGTTGGGATTTGTTTGATTTTATCAGGTAACTATAACTATCATTATAAACTTTACTAATTAATAAGTACGCGTAAATAAATTTTAAATATAGAGCTTTAGTAGTCCTAAAAGGGGCCGGAGAAACCTGAGATTGTGTTACGTTTTCAATTCACATCAAAACGTAACCTCCAGGAAAATTGCCATGTGTACCATGTCGCAAATTTCGTTCGTAATTCTCGATTTTAAAACGAAATTTTAGACAGTCGTAGGATTGAAAAAGGAGTGGGCGAAGTGGACAAAAAGCCAGTTACACGTGGCTGCTGCTCCATGGTTTTACTGCTCACAGCATGGGAAGTTCCAACACAAACCGCTACTTTTTCACATACAATACTGGTTCACGAGTGGTGATCAAAGCTTCTTTTTATACCAACCCTTGCAGACTTAGTAATTTTCAGGACAAAAACGACGTGACCGAGCCTCGACAGTAACTGATTACTGATAGTTAGTTTTGATGTTATTTTTTAGATATTGTTGTTGTTGAGTTGGATTTAGAGTGGAAGACGGATCAGTTACCTGAAGGTAGGTAATTTGCTTTTAAATTTATTGTCAATTTTTTTTAAATAATGTAATTATGGTTTTATTAAATATGTCAACAGTCAGGTACACGCCAGGCTCTGGAGGCTATGGCTATCGGTGTTAACCGTTCACGTGCTAGATTTGGAACTTGGATTGATCACTCAATCACCGAAGAGAGGCAAACATGGGCAACAAATTTTTACTGAAAAGTTGAACTTGATGATGGGAGATAGCTTCGTGGTGATAGCAACAATAATGAAAATGACTTCAGGTAGTATCCTACGGCTTAGAGGTACGCCCGAGGAGCATTATATAGTAATGAGTTTCCGAGTCGGGTGATTATCCGAAGTTGTCGGCTATTGCAATATGGCAGACTATTCCAGTAACACCATTCGCGATTTACCCACAGTTAAGTGACGTGATTGAACCAGACATGAACGTTATATGGCTGTTTCCTTCACCCTCTTCGATCTTAAGTTTCTTGTTCAGCAGAGTTTTAACTTATCACTGAGGCCGCTGAGAC